CGCGCAGCACTCGCCCCCCGATGCCCCTCCTACTGCGCCTCCGCCTGCTGCCCCCCCCACCTGCCACTTGCTGCGGGGGGGGAACTCGGTGCTGGGGGCCTCCGTGGGGCGAGTCGTCTGGGGGGGGGGGCACGAGTTCAAAGGTGGGTTTAGTAATGCGTTGAAAGTGCGTGGAAATGTATAGAATTTGTAAATGCACACATACATACATACATGTATACATACATACATACATTCATACATTCATATATGCAAGCATACATTCTTACTTACATACAAATTCTTATATACATCCACCATACATACATACATACATTCTTACATACATTATTACATTCATACATACATCCATGCATACATATCTATCTATCCACCTATCTATCTATACCAATCCACTTACCCAACATAATATAAAACAAATTGGAATAAAACTTTCTCTCCTTATCTAAAATAGGTTTCAAACATCGACCTAACTAAAACAACGAGATGAAACACACATGCAAAACCGCTAAAACTCGCTACCACGTAGAACACGCGCGCGGAAACATCCACCCACCACACACAACCTATGTCAAATGTTTACGGGATGAAACAACAGGAAAATAGTACAAAGGTTTTACATACCTCTCCAATAGGCAGTTTCGGCGCTCTCAGTATATTTTCGTCTGTGAAGGATAGAGAAAAAAAAATGTCGAATTATATTGATGTCTAGATATCTGTGTTTCCTAGATCATAAGTACGCATGTATATATAAATGGCCAAACACTCTACCAAAGTGCTCCTCAAAGTATAATTAAAGGAAAAGGTCCTATACTTTCTACATCCACTAGCTAGCTTTATATTTCGAATAAATATGTAAAAGAGTGAATATGAGATGAATAAAAATCCTGTGGGAACACTATGGAGATTGTTGGTTTTATTTTCATGATTGCCTGTAAAATATTTATCCGGATCTTTGCATATAATGGAACTTGTCTAACTGGACTTTTGCTTATAATAGTTTAGTAGTCCTGTTCTAATGCGATGATATGGTAGATAAAAAAACAGAGAGAAAGAGAGAAAGAGAGAGAGGGAGAGGGAGAGGGAGAGGGGGAGGGAGGGAGGGAGGGAGGGAGGGAGGGAGGGAGGGAGGGAGGGAGGGAGGGAGGGAGGGAGGGAGGGAGAGAGAGAGTCAGAGAGAGAGAGAGAGTCAGAGAGAGAGAGAGAGAGAGTCAGAGAGAGAGAGAGAGTCAGAGAGAGAGAGAGAGAGTCAGAGAGAGAGAGAGAGAGTCAGAGAGAGAGAGAGAGAGTCAGAGAGAGAGAGAGAGAGTCAGAGAGAGAGAGAGAGAGTCAGAGAGAGAGAGAGAGAGTCAGAGAGAGTGAATCACAGAGAGAGAAAGATAGATAGATAGATAGATAGAGAGAGAGAGAGAGAGAGAGAGAGAGAGAGAGAGAGAGAGAGAGAGAGAGAGAGAGAGAGTCAGAAAGACAGGAGCAGAGAAGCAGAGAAATAGATAAATATACAGACAGACAGAAAAAAAGAGAGACAGACAGACGGACAGACAAACATAGAAAAAGAGAGAAAATATGAAAGAAAGAAAGGGGAGAGAGGAAGATAAGGAGAGAAAGAGAAGAGTGGAGGAGGAGAGGAAAGGGAGGGGGGAAAGAGGGAGGAGAGGAGAGGAAAGGAGGGAGGGAGGGAGGGAGGGAGGGAGGGAGGGAGGGAGGGAGGGAGGGAGGGAGGGAGAGAGAGAGAGAGAGAGAGAGAGGGAGAGAGAGAGAGAGAGAGAGAGAGAGAGAGAGAGAGAGAGAGAGAGAGAGAGAGAGAGAGAGAGAGAGAAGAGAGAGAGAGAAAGAAAGAGAGAGAGAGAGAAGAGAGAGAGAGAGAGAGAGAGAGAGAGAGAGAGAGAGAGAGAGAGAGAGAGAGAGAGAGAGAGAGAGAGAGAGAGAGAGAGAGAGAGAGAAACAAAAAAACAATCACAAAATTAAAAAACCAGAGTCAACCAGACCCCCCCAATCAGACACCTCCACCCCAAGGGCCTCACCATGCGAACAAGAGGCAGGCGCAGAATCGTCTAAGTACGGCAGAAGTTTCACAGTCACGATGTACTGGTCGATCTCTCCGTTGGGCGAGACCGGGGTGCTCCACATCACTGTCATGGATCTGTCTGTCTTGTCTGTCACTTTGACATTCGGGGGCTTGCTTGGGTCTGGAAGGGGGAGGGGAGAGGCAAGAGCAATTATGGTGAATGTGGAGTGGTAAGGATAATGGCAAAGGATAGATATGATAATGATAGTAGTGATGATGGTAATGATGATGATAATGATAGTAATAGTAATACTAACTATAATAACAACAGTAATAGTAGTAGTAGTAGTAGTAGTAATGATGATGATGATGATATTAATAATGATGATTAAATTATAAAAATAACAATAGCAATAATAATACCAATAATGATGATACTACTACTACTACTAATAATAATAATAATGATAATAACAACACTATGGTACTATTATTATTACTACTACTAAATAATAACAATACACTAATACAGTACTTACTACTGCTACTAATACTACTATTAATATTTCAACCTTGTAAGGTTGAATATACAGCTGTTTACTTGTGCTTAGAGGTTAAACTGTGTTTCGAATACCGAAATGGGTTTATAGATGCGCAATGTTCGATGTTTTTCTCCGCCACAAACTGATCGATAGAAGAAGAATAAGCATGTACAAATCTCAACAAAAAAACAAATATAATTAGCCAAAAAAAACAACAAAAAGAGATACATACATGCTAAATATCACATACACGTAGAAGTTTTTAAAAAATCAATAGATTAACGAATTGATTAATAATATAAACACAAAAATAACAACACTAATACTACACGCACTGAGCCAATCTTTTCCCCTTACTCTAAGAAGGACAACCCATCCGAACACGAATCTTGCAAAAATAAACAAATAATAACAATTATAAAACAAATATGTAAAAATAAGAAAAAAAATACACACAACAAAACACACAAGAAATGGCAAAATTGTAATAAAAACATACACGAATTATATGGCAAGGTTGCGATAATAACAACAAATAACAAAAAAAAAGATTATATACATACAATGCAGAGCTGTAAAAAAAAAAATAAAAATAAAAACGTACAGTAAGTTCTATCAACACAAAACACCGTACTAAATGACAAAGTTAAAACAACACAAACATACAAACTACATGGCAAATTTATAACAACACAAAACGCCCGTAATAAATGGCAAAGTTAAAACAACACAGAACGCACTTACTAAATGGCAAGGTCGTAATGTAGCTGATATTCGACCTCGCTCCGATGGCCGCGTCCACCACGGTGTCGGTTTGGACGTAAATGGCGTATTTCGTCGCCGGTTCCAAGTCGGCGATAATTTGTGTGATGAAACCGTCGGATACTTTGTTCTCTACGTATTTTCTGGACCAGTCGCTGGGGGGTGGGGGGAGAAGTGGGAGGGATTAATGAATGAATGAATGAATGAATGAATGAATGAATGAATGAATAAATGAATGTGTTTGTTTGTTTGTGTGTGTGTGTGTGTGTTTGTATGTGTGTGTGTTCGTTAGTGTGTGTGTGTGTGTGTTAATGTTTGCGAGTTTGTGAGTTTGTGAGTTTGTGTGTGTGTGTGTGTGTGTGTGTGTGTGTGTGTGTGTGTGTGTGTGTGTGTGTGTGTGTGTGTGTGTGTGTGTGTGTGTGTGTGTGTGTGTTTGTGTGTGCACGCGCGTGTGTGTGCATATATATGTGTGTTTGTTGGTTTTGGTAGGAGGGTTAATAGCTAGGCAGGTAAGCAAGAAGGTAATATACCAATTGATAATCATATGCTAAATCAAACATTCCTAAACAGAATACAGAAATATCCAGCAGAAAAAAATACAATAACACATCCACAGCAGCTATTATCACAAGTACACAAAATGGCGCTCTTGTCTTTACTGCAATATAATGTTACAAATAAGAACTTGCCAGAACTTCGACTGTCCTGTTATTGAGAAGCAGATGACGCAACCTTAGTCTGGATGTACCTGGAAATTGTACCTGATCACGGAAGGGAGAGAGAGGGGGAAGAGGGAGGGGAGAGAGGGGGGAGAGGGAAGGGAGAGAGGGGGAAAACTGAAGGGAGAGAGGGGGAAGAGGGAAGGGAGAGAGGGGGAAGAGGGAAGGGAGAGAGGGGGGAGAGGGAAGGAGAGAGGGGGGAGAGGGAAAGGAGAGAAGGGAAAGTTGGAAGAGAGAGACAGAGGGAAGAGGAAGAAAGAGGGGAAGGAGGGAGGGAAATGAAGAGAGAAAGAGGGAAATAATGAAAGAAAGGAAGAAAGACAGAGGGAGGGAGGGAGGGAGGGAAAGGGAGGGAAGGAGGGAGGGAGGGAGGGAGGGAGGGCAGGAGGGAGGGAGAGAGAGAGAGAGAGAGAGAGAGAGAGAGAGAGAGAGAGAGAGAGAGAGAGAGAGAGAGAGAGAGAGAGAGAGAGAGAGAGAGAGAGAGAGAGAGAAAGAGAGAGAAAGAGAGAGAAAGAGAGAGAAAGAGAGAGAAAGAGAGAGAAAGAGAGAGAGAAGAGAGAGAGAGAAGAGAGAAAGAGAGAAAGAGAGAGAGAGAGAGAGCTAGAGAGAGAGAGAGCGAGCTAGAGAGAGAGAGAGCGAGCTAGAGCTAGAGAGAGAGAGAGCGAGCTAGAGAGAGAGAGAGAGAGAGAGAGCTAGAGAGAGAGAGAGAGAGAGAGAGAGAAAGCTAGAGAGAGAGAGAGAGCTAGAGAGAGAGAGAGAGAGAGAGAGAGAGCTAGAGAGAGAGAGAGAGCTAGAGAGAGAAAGAGAGCTAGAGAGAGAGAGAGAGCTAGAGAGAGAGAGAGAGGGAGAAAGAAGGAGAAAGAGCGACCAAGAGAGGGAGAAAGAGAGACCAAGAGAGAAAGAAAAAGAGAGAGGGAGAAAAAGAAAGACCAAAAGAGAGAGAGAGAGAAAGAGAGACAGAGACAGAGAGAGCACAAGAGAAAGAGAGAGACCAAGAGAGAATGAAAGACCAAGAGAAAGAGAGAGACCAAGAGAAAGACAGACACCAAGATAATGGAATTGATGTTCACTGAAAATGATTCTAAGAAATAAGAGCTGGCAATATTGGTAAAGGATTGTTTCCCAGAATTATTAGGTAAGAAGTATTGGGTAAACTCCTTACTTCTTTCCTTTCCCCGATAATTCTGTTTACTTTCTGCCAACATTTGGTAAAACTCATTAGTTGGAATTCTCTGAAGTTGATATAACTTATGGTGTTTGAAGTTAGAGATTGCAAAATGTTCTTTGTTAAAGTTTTTTTTTTAA